TGCCCCGACTGGGAATCAAACCATGATACTCTGGTTCTCAGGCCCGCACTCAATCCACTGAGCTACACCAGCCAGGGCTCAATCTCTCGTTTTTAATAAAAGCCTCTGGATTGAGGTTGGCCCCTCCAAAGGCCGCTGCAGTTGGTTACCCCGCTTCTCTCCCTGGCCTCTCCTTTCAGGGGAGCAAGTGCTGGTCCTTGGCCTAGACAATCCCTGCACCCTGCTGCCACCGGCCTCTGCAGCTGTCGCCTCTTCCTCTTCATCCTTCCCTCTTCCTGCAAACATGCTCAAGTCTCCCGTTCCCTAGAAACCTGCAGCCAGTCTCGCCTCCTGGGAAGTCACTCTCCCCAGCTCCCTCCACCCTCGACCACACTTCTGGGAAGCAACCCCCCAGGGGTCCTGGCCAGACCTGCCCTCCTGTGGTCCCTAGCAGGGGGCCTCACCACTCCTCCTTGGAAGGTGCTCTCAGGGCCACCAGGCCTTGACACCCCCACCGGGGGGGCTGTCACCCCTTCCAGCACCCTGGCCTTCTCCAATTGATGCCATCCTTTCTCGGCCCCTCCCCCACCCCCATCCTGTCCCTAGGTGTTGATTGTACTTACTGTGTATCAGGAAAATACAGGGTCTGGCACAAATCATGCCACTCTTTTGTTACAAAAATCTTTTATTATAAAATCATAAGCATGTAATTCTGTAACATAACAATATCACACTCAAGCACATCATATGACATTTTAGGTGCAATGTTCAAATTAAAACTATAAATTATTACACCCATGTTGTTACTCTACCAACCACACACAAGCAGGCGCTACTTCTGCTAGACCCTGTGCAAGGAATCTGTAGACACCAGCCCCGCCTGTCAAGGAGCTGGCCGTGAGAGCCTGCTCTGCCATTCGCACTGTCTCTGGCTGTTGCTTCCAGTCCCCTGGGTGTTTCCAAGAGGACTACTTTTGACCTTTCTCCCTTGCAGACCTCAGGTGCAGACCACCTCCTCTAGCTCAACCTCCCAAATCTCTATTGCTAGCCCACCCCCCCTCCTCCAACCTCCTGTTCTCCCTGGACCTTCCCACCTGTTCACTACTGCACCCACCTCAACCTCCACCTGGCAAAAGCGAACTCATCGCTTCCCCTTCTGTCTCTCAGGCTTGCTGACTGCCTCTCCCCAGTGGCTCTCCAGACCAAGTCCTGTTTTGCACGTCCCGCCTCCGGGCTGTCTCCCGTTTACCCCTTTCCATCTTCACCCCCGGCCGGTCGAGACCCTCAGGATCCCCGCCCCTGCACCGCCTCCGTAGCTTCCTGGCTAGTTTCTCTCTGGATGACTTCTTTCTGTCCGTGCATCTCCCAGGCTACAGCCGGAATCATTTCCTGAAGCTCTGCTTGGATCTGCCACTCCTTCATTCCAAACAAGTTTCTAAGTATATCCGTGGTCCCTGCTGCCTGCAGAACACAATCTCAGTCCCGTAGTCTGGGGTCAAGGCCCCCACGGTCTGGCCCCCACCCCCTGCCCCAAACATACCTCGGCCTCATGCGCTCTACGGGTCAGCCCTGCATGCTGTCCCACAGACAGACCTACTTCCACTCCTGCTGCTTTCTCTCCCACGAATCCCTTTTTCGTCTCCGCATGATCTCAAACAGCATCCTTCAAGACCTGTCTCACACACATCCTCCTCTAAGAAATCTTTTTCATTTTCCCCTCTTGACGCCCCAGGAGGAGTGATCCTCTCTCCCCTGACCGCTCACAGCCCCTTATACTGTCTTTCTGGCGCATGTGACCTTTCTGCTCTGCATGGGAATCATCTATGTACACGCCTCACTGCCAGCTCTGTCCTCTGACTCATCTTCGTGTTCTCCAGAAGCCTTGTCACAGAGTGCAGCCCTGTGGTCAGTGCAGAATAGGTGCTGAGAAAGTATTTGGTGGATGGATGGACAAAACAACACGTGACTGGGTGGGGGGTGAGTGAATGGATGGACAGACTGATGGATGAATAAGTGTTTGCCTCTAGAGCTAAAGCAAGTGTATAGCTAGTCTGACAATGGCTGTTAAAGGCTAGAAAGGAGAGGGAGCTAACAGTTCCTTGAATATGCACTAGAGTTTATTCTGGTCCTCAGACATCTAGTTAAAAGCATTACCAAGTGAGCTAAGAAGGAAGGGAAATGACGAAGCTGTGGAAAGGAGCCTTCCCGTGGGTACCACGTACCTGGTACGACTCTGATGCTCAGAGTCTTGTCTTGGAGAAGCTCTGGCGCTAGAATTCTAAAAAGACTTGGGAAATGCGGCAGATTCTAGTCTATCCTCACAACACACCTGACACAGTGCTAGGTAGGCACCCTGAATCATGCCAATGCCTAAGATTTAGTCATTTGCAGTTCCAGGACCCTGGACAAGTTTTTAACCTCTCTCTGAGCCTCAGTTTCCTCATGTGCAAAATGGGCTAAGGTATTACAGCGCTGCTGGGGGACAAGAGCAAATAACCTTTGTAAAGTGCCTATTAAGGCATAGTGTCACCGCAGTATTTGTTGGCTTCAGACCCTGTCAAAACCGCTACTTGTCTCATTTTGACAAAAACTGTTTTAGCAACAGCACTTGCTCAGGACGCAGCAAGAGAACGCTGCCCCACGAGAGAAAATGTCTTATCAGTGGTCGCTTGCTCAGTACTCATTGGTTTCTGCACTCATCACGAGCTCCGGAACGAATTCAGGATGAGTACCGAGGTACCACTGTACCTAGCATGAGCATGCAAAACGTGATAGCTATTGTTGTTGTTGTTGTTTTGCCCTCCAGAAGTTAGCAGCCATTCTTCTTAGCAAAACAAACATGTTCCCGTGTCAGGCAACATAAAATCCAGGGCTAAGTTACACAGTTCTCTTGCTAAGTACCACTGGAATCCAGGGAAGGCTGAGGACGAGAACAGTCGGGGAGGCCTCCCAGGAGAGGAGGGTTTAGGGCTAACCTTGAGGTGGGTGGGACCTGGAAGGTGAGGAGGTGGATAGAGAATAGGGAAAGGGGGCACACAAGAGCGGGCAGTGGGCGTGGGGCTGCTGTGCCGCAAGCAGGCGGCTTTGCGGTGGAGACAGTGGTGGAGACAGTGAGCAGGGAAGTGACCTGACAGGACACAATGGGCCATGAGGTTGGGAGCGCCAGGGGCCTCAGTCTTTCCGGGACCTCGGTTGCAAAGAACAGCTATGGGGAAAATGCCGAAGTTCCTTAGTCCTTGCGGAGAGGTGACTGAACAATGCAGGGCCGGCTGCCGGCCTCGACAGAGGCCGAACTGGTGGGGCAGGTGCTGGTGCAGGAGGAAAGAGGTTTCCTTCAGGTGCTGCAGGCCCTGGGAGAGAGGTGGACTCCCGTCTCACGGACCGTCTCAGGTGGGGTGTCTGACCTTTTGGCGTCTCTGGGCCACACACGCCAACATGTAACCACACAAAAAATCTCATCATGTTTTCAGTGAATTTACGATTTCATGTTGGGCTGCGTTCACAGCCCTCCTGGGCCCTGGGTTGGACACCCCTGATCAATCTTTCTGCTCAAGCCCAGGTTCTTACAAGGAAGAGGAGAAAGGGACTTTTTTCCTATCCAATTATCCTTGTTTCTGACAAGCTCAGGGCCCTATCCATTCATCTTTCTAGCTGTGGTGCCTCTGTGCAAGAACCTGCCCCTGCCACCATCTTGGCCAATGGGCAGACTCCCCAGTGCTCTGATGGACGGTCTTGGGTAACAGAGATAGAAATAATAATAGTTCACACTCTACACAGAATTCAGAATGTTTTGAGTATGTCCCATGTTAGCATTTATCCGATACTCAGAGCAGCCCTATGACACTATCCTCCGTTTCACAGATGACAAACATGGGGCACAGAGGGTAATGTGCCCAGGTCACACAGCTTCTGAGTAGCTGACTTTTGCACTCACCCCCAGGCTCTCTCTCATCCAGCTGAGTTCACGCTCTTAACCACCACACTACGCTGCCTCCTCCCTGGACCTCTGTAGCCATCATTTCTCTTCACTCTATGGCCTACCACCAGCAGGCAGAAAGTCCCACCGCCACCACCACACCGGAAACTCAACCAGGCATTCACTGATGGCTATGTGTCCTGTACCGGGGTGTGCATTGTGGGGAGGAGGGATGGGAGCGTTGCTAAGGGAGTCGCTGAGCAAGGAGAAGACACAGGCTGTGTCTGCAGGGAACTCCTTCCTACTCTACTGCAGCAGACAGGACCTAACTGCCTAGGAACCTAGGGAGAGCAGCGCGCTGGCCAGAGGGCACTGGCCAGCAGGGAAGTCGCTCTTCAGAGGGTGGTCTCAGCATAGGTCTCTGAGAAGCCTGCGGGCCGGTGGCTGGAACAGGGCCTTGGCCCCGAAGGGTGCTTTACTCTGCAAGTGAGTCCTGTACAGAAGCAGCCTGTATGGGATACAGGCTCCCTCCAACCCCCTCTCCCTTCTCGAAGGGGTTGGAACCAGAAGAAGGGGCAGAGTGGCAGCCCCCAGCCAATGACCTGACCATTGTACTCCAAGTCTGCTTGGCACCCTGTCCTCTCCTCCCCATGGGTCCACAGCACACAGGCAAGGCTAAGTCCCTCCATGTTCGCCCTTCCTGGGGTGGGAGAGCTAGTGGCACAGTGGACAGCACCTGGAAGGGGGGTGGGATGAGAGGCCAGCACAGAGCCAAGGAAAGAGGGGTGTGAGCACCTGGGCCTGAAACTGGCCTGTAGCCCGGGGCAGGGCAGGTGGGACCAAGCGGCTGCAGCAGGATGGTTGACCCCTGCCGTCATTTCCTTTCTAGCCAGAGAACAATGGCTCAAAAACAAGCGCAGACCTCCACTTTCCCGCCTCCCAGGCCACAGGCGCGCTGGCTTCCCCGGGCTGAGCGAATGGAAAGCCTGAACCCCGCGCCCTTCCGCCCTGCTCGCTGGAGCGCAGGCCTGTCGCGAGGGGCTGCCCAGTCACAGCCGCTGCCCCAGCCCGCTGCCTGGCTGGCACGCTCTCCCTCCCCTTCCAGGCCCTGCACCCGGCTACCAGCCTGGAGAGTCACCGAGGGATGAGGAAACTACAGCCCAGTGGGACGCCCTTTCTGCCCTCGCTGCTGCAAGTGCGCAGCACTCAGGAGCCAGGCCGAGCCTGACACCCTGTCGTCTCCCGTCGCGCAGTGACCTGAGGGATCTGCGAGTGACCCGACTGGCAATCTCCCTACTGCATGGACCGGCTGCAGAAGGTGCGCCGGGCTGCACCCAAACCTGGGGCAGTGGAGGCCTAGCGCTTGGGGGTGGGTGGAGCCTTGCTTCCAGCCGAGGGTCAGGTCGGGGGTCGGTGGTGCCACCTGGTGGTTGTCCGCAGCGCCGCACCTTGGAGTGCTAGAGACCTAGGACGCCCTCTCTGCCTTGGCCCATTGTCTTAGGGCCGGTCCTGCGCCTTTGGCGCGGCCCTCGCCCGCACGCACATTCCCACGCCCGCCTTCTCGCTCTCCCCAGCAACCACTCACCTCCCCCGGGAGCGTCAGCTCCTCCCGAGACTCCAGTGTTCCCGGCTCTCCCTCCAGCATTGTGGTGAGTACCTCTTGGCCACCAGCACCTTCAGGCCAGGAAGAGGGCAGGGCTGGGCCGCGCTCGGTGCTGGGCTGCTTTACTCAGCCTCCCTGATGGTGGTTCTGCCAAGGCTGATCGGCAGAAAGGACCCCCAGATTCAGAGAAGTGTCCCCCACCCAGAGTACTAGGTGAAGGACTACTCTCTGAATTCTTAAACAATGGAACCATTAACTTACAGGAGCTGACATCTAACACGGCCATTTGCTTTCTTCCGAATGCATTGCAAGTCTGGTTCGTAAGACCAGGATGCCAGGGGAGCCTTTGGTCACATGTGTTCCATTGCCACCATTTCCCTTCAGGCCAAGATGGACAATCAGGTGCTGGGTTACAAGGACTTGGCTGCCATCCCCAAGGACAAGGCCATCCTGGACATCGAGCGGCCTGACCTCATGATCTACGAGCCCCACTTTACCTACTCTCTCCTGGAGCACGTGGAGCTGCCCAGAAGCCGGGAGGTGAATGGGGGGAGGGTTCCTCTTGGACAGGGTGTGGGGGAGGGGCTCCCCCAGGCCACGCCCCGGTGGGTGGCAGGATCCCTGTCATGCTTTCTTCCCTTTCCATGCTTTCTTTCCAAGAAGGCGAACTGAGCACAGGAATCAACCTTCCATAACCTAGTGTCGGTGGAGAGCAAGCAAACATGGGCCAGAGAGGTCCATGAGGGGGCTGGGGAGGCCGGGAGCAGTGGCAGAGACGCCAAAGGGTCAGGTGGGAGGAGGGTGGGAGTGGGCGGAACGATAGCAGATTTGTGGAAAGCACCCAGGAGCACCAAACGCAGAGGCTGGAAATCCTGGCTGAGTGACCGGCGTGACAGTGTGGTCTCAGTGTCCCTTCCTGTTTAATAGAGGTGATACCTTCCTCCCCCATCCCCCTTGCCAGGTGGTCAAATGCACGAGATGAAACACGCATGCCAGGTGCTTTGTAAACTGTCTTTGAAAAAGGGGTAGTGCCGTGGCTGAGCAGGGACACAGGGCCAGACTGGGGAGACTTAAATACCCAGCCAGGAGCCCGGGAGCCCAGGTTCCCTCACGGAGGCTTGTGGGTCTGGCCCCGAGGACAGTGCCACAGTCACCCATGGTTGGCGCCCCAAGCACGAGCACACTGCTCCAGGGTCTGTGGCTTCTGGGTGCGTCCTAGGGACAGACTTCAGATCTCCCAGGAGAGCCCCAGGAGGGAGGAGGTTGGAGGGCCAGCACTGGGCACTGGGAGGTCGGTAGAGAAGAGGTGGCCCAGACACTGGCTGGGAAGGATGCAGAGTTGGGTGGGGGATGAAGTGGTCCCTCTGGGGGCTAGGGATGAGGGTTGAATCCCACCCTGTGGCTCTGACCAGCTCCTCTCCTTCGCAGCGCTCACTGTCACCCAAATCCACATCCCCCCCACCGTCCCCAGAGGTGAGTGTCACCCAGCCCTGCTCTGACAGGCCCCTCCCCTCCCCCACAGGCCTCCAGACAGGGTTCTGCAGAGCCCAGGGGACAGCAGAGTCACTGGCCAGCTCTGTCTGTCTGTCTGTCTATCTGACCCAGGACCTCAAGTAACCTTTTCTCCCTGGGCCAGGCCCCAGCAGCAGGTTGAGTCCTTGGATACCTTCCTCTGCCCTGGGGTTGGGGCCTTGCGGGCTGCTGGCGGGAGGATAGAGATGTCAGGGAAAGGCGAGGTCACAGCTACATGGGCCGGAATGGGTGGCGTGGGGGACCTGGGAGCTGCAGTGAACCTCACTTCTGCTCTGCAGGTGTGGGCGGGCAGCCGGTCCCCTGGAACCATCTCTCAGGTTTCAGCCCCAAGAACCACCGGGACCCCCCGAACCAGCCTGCCCCATTTCCACCATCCTGGTAGGTTTTACTGTCGGGCTGGCTGCACCATTTTCCTAGGGTCTTTTTTCTCCTTCAGGAATCTAAGCCCCTTGCTCTCAGTCCCCCACTCTCTGGGGTTATACTCCCCACTGGAATTGGCCAGGCCCCTGACGCCAGAGCTCCCAAAGACTGTGGACCCTGCCTCGTCCTCCCTCCCACCCAACCAGAAAAGGACAGAAAGTCCCAGTTCCCTGAGGGGCAGTCGCAGGATCCCTGGTTCTCTCCAGGCTCTTGGCGGGAGCCCACGCATTTCCTACCTTCTCCTGTCCCACTGTCTCTGTTCCTGTCACGGGCCCGGCCTCCCCCACCACCAACACACAGTCCTCCCCACCGCGTTTGCTCCCTACAGAGACCACCCGCCCAGATTCCAACATCTACAAGAAGCCACCCATCTACAAGCAGAGAGGTGAGGGTCCCCTGACCGACCTGGCCTACCTGCCGGGAGGCTGCATGAGGGCAGGGAGTGGGCAGGGAATAACCGCCCTCCCCTGCACGGCACTCGCCTTGTCCTCTGCGTTCTCCTTTCTGGGCCTTATTTCAACACCCACGATCCCATGGGTGTGAGCGGGGAGAGGTGAGGGGCTGGCAACGTGCACGGGCTGACCCTGACCTCCGCCGGCAGAGCCCGCGGGAGGCAGCCCCCAGAGCAAGCACCTGATCGAGGATTTCATCATCGAGTCGTCCAAGTTCCCTGCGGCCCAGCCCCCGGACCCCAACCAGCCGGCCAAGATCGAAACCGACTACTGGCCATGCCCACCGTCGCTGGCCGTCGTGGGTGAGGGAGACTGCTGGAGAGGGGAGGCAGGCCAGGCCACTGCCCCAGGGCCCCCGCTGATGCCTGTGAGCGCCCTCACCCCGCTCTCCCGCTGTGGCCTCCACGAACCCTGCAGGCGTTTTGGCCACCTGCCCCTGTAGTTCCGGCGTCAGTGCCTTATTGTTACTCGTCACTCCAGTCGCTTGACTGGTCTGCTGACCAGTCGGCGGACATCTGTCTCCGCCTGCTGCATCCCAGGCTCTGCCCGTCGGAGCTCTGGGAGAGAGGGGACGTGAACAAGGGCTGGTCCCCAGTGAACTCGAGTCGGGGGGTGTGTTTCCTGCCCAGCCCACTGCGGGGCAGCCGTTACTTGTGTTTTATTTATTTTTAATTTTTTAAAAAGATCTTACTCATTTATTTTTAGAGAGGGGGAGAGAGGGAGACAGAGAAGAGAGAAACATCAGTGTGGGTGAGACACATCAATTGGTTGCCTTTCGGACCCCCAGCCAGGGACCTGGCCCACAACCCAGGCATGAGCCTTGACTGGGAATCGAACCAGCAACCTTTCGGTTTGCAGACTGGCACGCAGTCCACTGAGCCGCACCAGCCAGAGCTATTTGATTTTATTTTTTAAAACGGATTTGTAGCGTGTGCTTTCAGGTGCAGCCCAGTGCGACGCACACGGCTGGTGTCTGGCAAACACTTCCTGAGCACACGGTTGGTTGATGCGCTTGTTCCTGCCTGTGTTTCCCAGAAACGGAATGGAGGAAGCGGAAAGCATCTCGGAGAGGGGTGGAGGAGGAGGAGGAGGAAGATGATGACTCTGGGGAGGAGATGAAGGCTCTCCGGGAGCGTCAGAGAGAAGAACTCAGTAAGGTAGCATCTCGTAGCCCCAACCCAGCCTCCCTGTGTCTTCCTGGGGACCAAAGTTCCAGTTGCATAGCTCTCCTGTTCCAAGCGAGTCCATGCCTGGAAGGGGTCCTGGTTGGAGCATGTGAGGAACCCCCTCCCTTCCCAGGACTTCAGCCGATGCTTTGAAAGGGGCACCAGGCCTTCGAGCTGCTCCTGGGGGAACACGAGTTAATATTAGGAAGGGTGGTCCCATCAGGGCCAGGCTTCATCGGGCTGAGCAGTTGATGGGAAGAGGCAAGGGGAGAGAGCAGGCTGCTGGCCTCCAGGCAGGAGAGAAGGTGTTGGGAGTCAGGCAAAGGCCACTCACGGTGACAAGGGCCTGTGCTCTGGGCATCGTGACCTGGGATAGTAGGCCACCCGGGTAGAGTTACCCTGAGCGGCTTTGACTCCTTGCTCCCGAGGGTGGCCAGACCCGGTGTGGCAGCGTATCAGACCAGAAGGATAGGCTCCACGGGTTCCAGGGCACAGCCCGGCCACAGGGCAAACCTGTCCCCACTCCTGCCTGCCATGTGCCCAACTCTGAACCTTCTGGAGACAAGAAACAGGATCGAAGTCTTGGATCCATCTCCCTTTCTCCCTTCCCAGGTTACTTCCAACTTGGGAAAGATGATCTTGAAAGAAGAGATGGAAAAGTCGTTGCCTATCCGGAGGAAGACCCGCTCCCTGCCCGACCGGACACCCTTCCATGCCTGTGAGTACCACGAAGGGGGCGTGACTCGCCCGGCCAGACCCTGTGGCCCGAAGCGAGCAGCCGGTCCAGAGCATCTGGCCTCCGCCTGACGCCGGGCTGCTGCAGGTCTCAGGACACAGACAGTCCAGTCACTGGCTCGAGGTGCTGGTGCCCTCCTCAGGGCAAGAATCCCAGGAATGGAACAAGAGTAGGTGATAAAAGATAGTGTCAGCTAAGCAGAATTAGCCCATTTGTTTAATTTAACCGACATCTGTTGAGTGTCTACCATGTGCTAGGCACCGGCAATTATAAATGAGTGAAAAAATGTAGTCCTGTCCTTCAGTGGCTTCCAAGCTTTGGGAAAATGGACATGGAGATGGGGCTTTGGGCTGTGCAGCAGGGATTGTGCTGTGACAAGATGTGACAGGGCCTGGGGTCAGAGGTGTGCACGAGCGGAGGCTTGAAGGATGAGACAAAGTCAGTGGGGGAAGGGGCACTGCAGACACTGGGGACAGTGGGGACAAAGGCCAGGAAGAAGAAACCTCGTGGCCAGGGGAGAGGGCCCGGAGCAGCCTGGAGTCACAGAGCCCAGAGTGCACCACGAGGTGGCAGGAGTGATACCAGAGAGGCGGTGTAGCCAGTGCTTTGGATATCACCGTGCGGGGGATCCAGAGTCCTTGGAGCATGGCAGCCGGAGAGGAGAGGGGAGGGAAGGTCTGGAACCTGGAGCTGGGAGTTACAAGGCCTCTAAAAGTCTGGCCTCAGAAGCCACACGGCGTCGCTTTCACTGCGTCCTGTGGGGTCAGAGCAGCTCGGTGGCCGGGTAGACTCCAAGGGCGGCAGGGAGATGGTGAGCTGCAGGAAGGCGCTGGGGAATAGTGTTGCAGGCCATCTTTGGAGACAAGCTGCCACGCTCTGCAGTCTGGGTGAGGGCTAAAATGCACACAGGCCCGGAGAAGAGAGAACGGGTTTGAGAAACGTAGCAGATGGAATCGGCGGGACCGCAGGGCTGACTGGGCCTCGGAGGTGAGGGGGACACCAGTTGGGTCTTGTCTTGGGCTCTGGGGGATGGCAAAACTAGAGCCGAGATCATGAGAGAGGTGGGTCTGGGGGGTGAGGTGCAGGGCCAGGTTTGGGGCACGTTGGGTTTGAAGTTTGAGTTTGACTGAGTCGGGAGCATAAGGGGTGAGTCAGGCCTCAGGTAGAGTCTTCCGATGACGGGCAGCAGCGAGGCCATGAGAAAGAGGCAACTGCGAGGAGAGAAGAGAGGGCAGCGATGAACCCTGGAGACCACGCACGTTACGAGAGGAGGTCAGGGAGGGATCCAACCTGGGGCGTGGGGCTGCCCAGGAGAGGCCTCTCTCTCTGAAGTTTGGGGACACCATTTGGGAGAGGCCACGTTAGAAGTGGACATAGTCTGCCGAGCGAAAGAAGGGCGAGTCTCGCTGAGATGGGAGATCGGGAACAGCTCTGCAGGGAAGGCGGCTGCCTCAAAGGCCGTCCATCTGTAGTGATGACAATCTACTTGCTGTGGGCTCCACCTCCACGGGGCGCCCACCGGAGGGGGCCGTGGGCTGCTCCAGGCAGGGATTTCTGAGCCAGGTGCTGTGGGATGAGGGGCCAGGTGAGCTGCTGAGTGCTGATGAAAGCAGTTTTGTGCCCAACCATAGGCCGAAGGACACGGAGGGTCAGGACATGGCGGGGGGGATGGGGCCACGAGACTGCCAAGCAGATGTGCTAGGAGAAGGGGCGAGGGAGGCTATAAACAAAGAAAGGCGCTGTGGCCACAAGGAGGGACAACCAGGCTGCAAATGTCAGGGTGAATGAAGCCGGTGTGGCCGGCAAGGCCCAGGGTGGGGTCGAGGAGCCTTAGGGTGTGTATGTGGCTAGGGCATCCATGGGGTCACCAAAAGACCAGGGTGATATTGCAGGATGGGCGGGAAGAGTTAACAGAGGCCTTCCTGGAGAGCGCAGATGAGCAGTTCAGGCCTGAAGGAGGAGACAGAGAGGTGCCCCCAAGGCCGGACTCCATCTCCACATTCCACTAGAGTGTGCTCTCGGTCAGATCAGCTCTTTAACTTCCGGCTGGCCTGGCCCAGTTGAAGAGCCCGACATCCCCAGTGTCGTCATCTCAGCTCCCCGAACTTGTCTGTGGTTCAAGGTTGTATAGGGTTGCGCGGGCTCTGGTCGCAGCTAATCCCCCTTCACAGTCTCCGAATTGTGGGTAGGCATGTCATTCTGACTTCATGGTGATGTCAGATGGCCACTTTCAAATGTATGTAAACATATACAAATAATTCAGAGTGAAAGCTGTCTCACGTGCCTTGTGGATTGAAATTTTATCGGGCAATTGAAGTAGAAATGTGTACTTATTAGAAAAGTAAAAGGCTCCCGTAATGATATTGCGAAAGCTGGTAATTTTCTACACAACAATAACTATTAAGTATCTTCAAAGTGAAGTATTGAGGGGAAAAAACAAGTTCCCCAAAGCACATTTTGTTCTCACCAATTAAACTTCCAAGTAACGCGTTTATAAGAATGCTTTGAAAAGACAGTTCTGTATAGTTGTGAGTCTGACAAGGCTAAACATTTAAACAATCTGGTGAGAGTATTGCTATAGAGTGCCGGCAATTTCTAGTAATTGGAGATGAAGGAGGTTTTTTTTGTTTTTTCTGTTGTTTTTTTTTTTAAGTAATTATTTATTCTATTATTTTGCCAGAAGTACATTTTTCAGATAAATCAGATTTAACACTGAAATAAATGTGCATTTAATATTATCAAAACATAAACTTACCAGAAATGTTTCTTTTTATTTATTTATTTATTTATTTAATTTTTTTTTTACTTTCACTTAGTGCTTCTTTTTTTTTAATTTTTAATTAATTTTATTTAGTTATTTTTCAAGTACAGTTTTTTGTCTATTTCTTGGAGATGAAGGAGTTTTGAGATCTGCCCAAACCAAGAACCTAAGGCACAAAGTTTTTCTCAGAAACCCAGTGTTCTTGAATTATAATCTGCAGTGCTTGAGAGCTTCGTGACCTTAGTCCATGTGCAAGTTGGAAGTGACAGCCGATCGGGCGACGTGAAGGGTGCTGACTCCGCCCTCAGTCCAGCAGCTGAGGGTGCGGAGAAAATCCTTGTTGCTCTATTATAACATCAAATGCTTGAGATTTGGTTACCACATTCGCTCATAATAAAATTCTAATAGCTGATTATTCTCACAAGATGTCAGATTTATTTTTGTGTCCCAGAGGTCCACTTTTCAACGGTAAGCCTCACCCTCTGACCACTGCCGGCCAGCGTGGATTTTAACTCGCAGGCGTTCAGCCCAAATGAATTTTCAGGGCACTTCTGTTAGAGAGGGAGGGAAGGCACTAGGGACAGTCCAGAGGAGCCAGTAGGATGTCACTCCCTGAAGGTTATGGGCAAGAGCTGGAAGCTGATGGAGGCCCACCAGGTTCCCCGGGTCTTCCCTTCACTGCCCAGCCCCTGGCCGGGGAGGCCAGAGAGGGAGCCCTCTCGGAGATGACTGTCGGGCCGGAGGGACTGAACGGGCCTCCTGCTCTCTTCTAGCCTTGCATGGTGGAACCTCTAAGTCATCGTCGCTCCCGGCCTACGGCAGGCCCACCCTGAGCCGGGTAAGGTCCCAGACCGCAAGGGAGGCATGTGCGTGCGGGGTCCTCTGAGGGACTGAGCTGCTTGGAAGGGGACTGATGAGGAATATGCCAGCTTCCTTCTGACCCCTTCGTGTCCTTTCTAGCTACAATCCACAGACTTCAGCCCATCCGGGAGTGAGACTGGAAGCCCAGGTGAGAGGCAGGGTCAGGCGAGCCAGGAAAGGGGCTCCTGCGGGCCCCTGGGGCAGCTGGTCTGTGGCGTGGGCTGGGCTGTGTGGCTGGAGGTCTGGGAGGTGAAGCTGGCAGGTTTGGACGCTTCCCAGCCTCTGAGCCGCCTCTGAACAGTGACCCCTCTCTCCCGCAGGTGTGCAGGTGAGTGCTTTCTGGAGGGGAACGCACGGAGCACCAAAAGCCGTGGACGAGCGATAAGCAGTGTTGGGGGAGGGGGTGTTGGGCCACAGAGGGGCCTGGTGAGCACATGAGAAGCCAGGGTAAGGCTGGGGAGGCCTCCCTGCCCCGCTCTGGCTCACTGCGGCTTTGGTCTCCCCAGAACGGAGAGGGCCAGAGGGGGAGGATGGACCGGGGGAACTCCCTGCCCTGTGTGCTGGAGCAGAAGGTGAGGGGCAGCGGCAGAGCCAGGGGGTGGTGGGCAGGGGGCAGAAGCATCGACATCGGGGGGCAGCTTGTGGAGAAGCCAGGGAAGTGAATGCGCTAAGGGGTCCCCCTGAAGTTGCTGATGGGGGGCAGCAGGGAAGCTGGGGCCGACGGACGCAACCCGGCATGAACCCGATGGCCCCCGCAGGCTGATGAGGCGCCTGGGGAGTTGAGGGGTTACAGCGACAGGGAACGCTGTGGCCCTAAGACTGCCCCTGCCCCTCAGATCTACCCCTATGAGATGCTGGTGGTGACCAACAAGGGACGGAACAAGTTGCCCCCAGGCGTGGACCGGATGCGGCTGGAGGTATGCAGGGAAGGTGCACTGGGTGGTGCAGGGGCCGGGCGGGGGGCAGCCTCCCCCGCCTGGTGGGGGAGACCTTGGCCTCTTGGTCTGGGTGCCCCTCGGTCACTCTGCCCAGACCCACCATCCTTTCCCTAAGCAGCCTTGGGGTGTTCCCCCACAGAGGCACCTGTCAGCTGAGGACTTCTCCAGGGTATTCGCCATGTCTCCTGAAGAATTCAGCAGGCTGGCTCTGTGGAAGCGGAACGAACTCAAGAAGAAGGCTTCCCTGTTCTGACCGTGCCCGTGCTCCGTGACTGCCCCTCACCCCAGCTGTTCTCTGGAGCTGGGTCCCGAGGCCCTAAAGCATCATCTCTTGGGGGAACAGGAGGTGGGCAGAGGCGGGGCCAGCTCCACGCACATGCGGGGTCCAGGGGAGCCCAGACTCCTTTCAGTGCTGGGGTGTGGGACGTGGACGTTCTTGCCCTGAGGAGCCGGGGGCCGCCCCTCACCCCTGGCCTTCACCGCACAGGGCAAACCCAGGCTGGACTCCAGCACCCCAGACTTAATGTCTATGCCCTCTCCCTGTCCCCACCCCATGGTGAGGTCCCCAGAAGGGTGAGAGCGGGGAGACATGAACACGGCACTTGGTGGTCAGGCCTGTTACTATCCAGACCAATGGGCAGCTAGCACCCTCGAGCCTGGCAGGAGCGTGTGGGGGTGGGGAGCAGCAAGCAGGCAGAGGTGGCACCAGGACCCTGGGTGCGCCCAGCAGGCGCTCCTCCTCCCCCCACCTCAGAGAGCTTCCCCTGCACCTGGGCCTCCCCGTCTGACCCCGCGGAAGCAAGGTGGAGCTCATTCTCCAGGCAGGGGCCCTCCAGCTTACCCTGTCCTCTCCTTGCAAATCCTATGCTTTGAAGCCTCATGCTCAGCCCCTTGGCTTCCCCAGAAGCCTTGGCTTAGAGTGGAGATGCTGCCTATACTGAGCCCCAGCCCCCCATTGGCCTCCAGGCAAAGTGAGCTAGAATCCTACCTTCTGACGCTCAGGTCCTGGGCAGAGCCAGGCCTTCAGGCTCCCTGGGTGGAATCAAGAGGCCAGGCTGGGCGTCCTGTCCCAATATCCCCACCATCCCCCACCACGCTCTCTAAAGAATGTAATTTATTGGGGCACCCCCAGCTGCTTTCCTCACCCAACTCTCTGCCCTACCTGATCACATCCCCAGCTTTTCTTCTCTATGAATCCATGCGTGTATATAATTATATATATATTTTTGCCCAGGTCTGGGTTTTGTTCCTGCCCGGATGCTGGCACCCCTTTCCACTGTGTGTGTGTGTGTGTGTGTGTGTGTGTGTGTGTGTGTGTGTGTGTGATGCTGGGGGAGGGGAACTCTGCTTGGAATTAAAAGGTTGCACTGGGTCCCCAAATTCACTTGTTCTTTATGAGCCGCCAGCTCTGGGTGAGAGGGACAGGCGACACCAGGCTGAGGGACATCGTGAGGGTGACAGTTCAAACGGGCACACACAGCGGGGGAGGCAGGGGGATGCCACACGCCCTGCCCTTCGCCCCGCCCAGGCTGCCAGAGCAGGGCTGTCCAGCAGGCTCCCACCTGCCATGTTCCTTCAGGGGCTGCACGGTGGGGGCAGCAGAGAGCCAGCCAGGAGGACAGCCTGCCCCGTTCCCCCAAGGCCCCGAAACCCGCTCCCCCACAGGCAAGTGCATCAACAGCTGACTGTGCAGTGGGGAAGCCAGACACACAGCACAGGTCAGCGGGGTTGAGGAGGCGGTGACTGACCTTACGGATCGGGTGGAGAACCCCAAGGGATGGAGAAACGATGGACACACTAGCAGGAGCATGGGTCAAGGGAGACCCATGCCGGAGGCCCAGGGAGAAGGGTGATTTGGTCTGGCTTGACTTGGCAAGGTGTTCTGGGGCCAACAGACACAGAGCTGGGTGTCGAAGTGGGTGGGGGGAACATGTTCAGTTCCACTCGGGGGCCGAGCGGCTGGCCTTACCTGGCTGGAACTGAACATGAAGCGGTGTCTGTCGGCCGAGGATCAGGGGAGCTGGTGGGCGGGGAGGCCAAAGTGAACCCAAGACTGGAGCTGAGACCTGAATCGTCTCGCATCCCAGGATGAGTTTCTAGCCCCTTGGGCTGAAACAAAAGCAAAGTGGCTAAGAATGACTCTAATGTGGGCAATGATTTTTAATTGTCAGAGTTCTTTTACATTCACAACATTGTTTCACCCTCTCAGTACACCTGTGAGGGCAACAGCGTGAACCGTTTTCATCTGTTTGGTGAAGGAGAAAATGGTGAGACAGACATTTCGTCTGAAGCCCGAAGCTCCACACAACTGATGAGCAGAGAGTAGAGCCAGACGCCTGGGTTGCTTGCCTGCTAGCCCAGGACCTCCCCTGTACAGACGAGGGCCTCTCGCAGGGCACAATAGGAGGCACAGAGAGAGGAAGGGGCTCCACGCACGCACAGCTATGAGGCATCTCCAAATGTGTGCAGGGCTGAACCTGTTCCGGCAGGAGGGTGCTCTGGTGGGCAGGGTGGCGCCACTGTGCGCACCCAGCTCCCAGCCCACTGAGCAACTCAGCAAGCCCAGGGGTCTTCAATCCCAGTTCACAGGGAGACATTCCCATGGGACTAGAGAGAGAGCAGGTCCTACAGCAGTGCCCAGCCTTTTGGTGTCTCGGGGCCACACGTTAAATACACAAACACTAATGAAAACTGATGAGCAAAAAAAAGGTTTTAAGGAAAGTTACGGTTTTGTATCGGGCCGCATTCATCGCTCTCCTGGGCCGCATACAGCCCACGGGCTGCAGATAAAACACCCCACAGGATTTTAAGTTCCTGAGATTCAGAACAACTCATGCAGCTCCATCACTAAACAAGACTTATGGAGAGTCTCTCAGCACCTTCTCCCCAAAACACACATGTACATGCAAACCCTTCGCAGTTATTTAGTCCAGTGGTTACAAACCTTTAAAAAAATAGATCTTACTACCACTATCTGGAGTACATTTGGAAGTCAATTTTTATAGTCAATTACTTATAATGAAAATGAGAACAAAAAAGCTGTGAGGAATAAGAAGTAAGCTTTGATGAATAAAAAATTTAGGTTGGGGGTGATACATGACAGTTGCCCTTTGTCAAGAGGAGGATCCAATTTATCGTTGCATTTGGTTGCTGAATGTGGAGAAAATCCCGATTTACACAGGTAAGTAGTTACGACATTGGGGTGGGTTCCGTACGCACGCCGACCCGTTCACATTCTTCCTGTCGAGCATCAGCAGCTCGGCCCCATCTGCTTGTGTCTGGGGCTTTGTGACTTGCTCATTTAAAACTGTCTACCCTGCCCCAGCCTCTGCCTTCATTCAAGCTGACAGGAGGACAGGCTTTTTATCCAAAGTCTCCCCCAGATGAGCTAACCTGACAGCAGAATTTAAACACATCAGTGACAATAACACTTTTGGCCTATAGCACATATACAAGGGAGTCCACTGACTTTTATCAGAACTTTAAATGTAAAATCTGAAGTTAAACCAAGTGAAAGGCTCCAGATTCCTGATACACTTCCACTATACCCTAGAGTTCCTTAACACGTGTTGAGGGGAAAACATTTAATCCATCCAGCTGCTTCCTTTACCCGAGAGGCAATGGGCTCAGAAAAGAAGTGTGGGCTGGATTGAGGTCTCCAACTCTCCAGGTCGCTTCTGGATACACAAACCAGGCTGGTTTCTTCCCTTTTATACATTTTGGCTTAAAAGCCTCCTTGTAGGGCTTCTCACAAGAGACCCATCTGCAGATGAACTATTAGGAAATATAAATTTTTTTCTCAAGTAGCACAGAGAACTGAGCTCCAAACACTAGCTCATCCCAGACTCAGCCCCAGGACTGCAGGCTGCAGTTCACAGCACCCAGCCAGCTCTGCGCATGTACCCCCTGGGGAAAGGGGCCCAAAGGCAGGGAGGCCCTGTGACCCCATAGCTCTAGGTCCCAGCTTCTGTGACAAGGGCTACTACCCCCACCTCCCTGACCAGTTCTCTAGTGGGACTCTCAAAGCCTTACCCTCTCTTCATAGGATGGCAGTGCTCAGTAGAAATATATTTTGAACAGACATCCATATACTGTCTTCAGAAAGAATCTTAAGACTCTCTTTCCATTCCTGTAGTAGTGCAGATGGGGGTGGGGCCGGGTGGGGGGAAATGGGCTTTGAACTTGGCAGGCTTGGCAGGTAGAAGGCCCATCCCTAAGGCCCTAGCTTTGGACATTCCAGGAACCCCCGCTCTTGTTGAGGGTTCCCCCTGCCTAATCCTGGGGTGTAATTTTCCTGGTGTGACCTCCACACAGGAACCCACCTTCTGTTTCTTCCCTTGGGTCAGCTAAAAGGGTAAAGTGGAGCTACTTGTTACTTCCCGTGGGACCTCAGGCCAAGCGCTGTACCCACTTAAAGCAACAAGTGAAATTAACTTTAACATTAATCCAATATATATAATATATTACCACCTCAAAATGTAGTCCACATAAAATCTCATTGGTGAGCTATTTTACAGTCTTGTACTAAGTGGTCAGAGCCCGGGGTGTATGCACTTCACCCTCAGCCCACCTCAATTAGGACGCACGTGGTTCCGGTCTCCACAGCCACACATGGCCCGTGGCTACTGTGGGGGATGGGGCGGGGCGGCGGGGCCATCTGGAGACCTACAGAACCCACAAAGTTTCTCATTGCTGATGGAAACAACCTCCCTGGGCCCACTCGCACTCCTCAAAGGGGAGGGTCGTTCTCTTGCTGCGACCTGGCTCCCTAGGGCCGAACCCGCCCCTCCGCTGCGGCGCCCTCAACCCCGCTCAGGCTCCCCTCCCGCTCCCCGGGGTCGGTTTTCTTTTCCTGGCGGGTGGGTCTGGCGGGGGCTGCGGGGCCGGACTGGAGAGCGCCCCTAGCCCAGCCGGGGCGGGGCGGAGCGGGCCGGGCCCCGCCTCCCTCGCCTCGCGGAGCCGCGCCGCCGGGTAGTCCGTGCGCCCGGTGCTCTGCCACCCCCGCCGCCCAGGAGCCCGGAGCCGAAGCCTGAGCCGGAACGGGTTGGGCGCCATCATGCTGAGCCGGCTCGGGGCGCTGCTGCAGGAGGCCGTGGGCGCTGTGAGGCTGTGGGCGCGGGGAGGCCGGGGCGTGGGGCGGCCGTGGGCGCGGGGAGGCCGGGGCGCGGGGCGGCTTGGCGGCCGGGGCGGAGCCGGCGGAGGGCGAGGGCCACCCGGGGGAAGGACCCCGGCCGGGCCATAGCGCCCTTCCGGGCCTCTCGCACAGCACTGCCCGCATCCAGTGGTTGCTTTCCCGACCGCGCCGCTTTCCCAGACTGCTCCATTCCTTGACTCACCTCCCCAAACTGCTTCCTGTTTATTTTTCGGCTCCCCAGTCTCTCCCAGCTCCCAGCTTTCCTGTGCTCCCATGCCACCCGGTAGTTTCTTTCCCCAAACCCCAAGTCCCCTTTCCTGGAGAGTTGGAAGGCCTCTGTGTGCCTTTCTGTGGCCTGCTCCGCTCTTCGTGGTCCCCTGTGGTTAAAAACAGCTGCCCCTTCCCTCCCTCGGAGTCCCTGATCACTCTAAGACCTTTTCAGGCCCAGCGCGCCCTCACCCTCCACTGGGGAATGCGGGCCCGGTCTGCTCGGTCCCGGGAAGTGCGTACATTCAGGACCGAGTCGGGGGCGGGGGTGCCTTCGCCCTGGAAGCATTCCCCTGCAGGTTTCCAACGTATTCTCTCTTATTACAGCAGCCTCTCATCGGGGGAGGCCAGCCATGGCGCTGCAGCCCTATGGGGAAGAGTTTATTGATTTCTTATATTCTCAGAGTTTGCGCTTTTGGCGTTTTCTGTTGGGGGCGAATGCTGGTCGGAGGCGGCCCACTGGGTTCCCTTCATTCAGTAAGATAAAAGTACAATTTAGATAGGATAGACAGAGGCCTGTACTTGCAGTAACGCTGCCAAGAATCTGTGAAGTTAATGATTCCTTTTGTTTCAGCATAAACCCTCTCCTAATTGATCAGTTTAGTTATCAGATTTTCTAATCTGAATAACCTAATTTATCAGATTTTCTCCGGAGAAGCAAAACCTTGGTTTCCACTACCTGCCTCTCCAACAACAACCCCTCCCCTTCAAATCAGAGCTTATTATGAATTTGCTTAAGTCCCAGCCTTAAGCAAACTGGTGAAGAAAGTAAAAAGCTCCTGCTCCTTCCAGTACTGCCCCTCCTCCCCCTCCCTCCCTGGGCTTGCTTGGGGCGGGGGAGGGGGGGAGCCTCAGGTCATCCCACCTGAGAGGGGTTCTGTAGAATCTCTCCTTCCCCTCCTCCCTTTCCTCAGTCAAGACAGCTGTCACCTTAGAAAGTGGTCTGACAAACTACTTCATACCTCTCAAGGACAGCTCCATGCAAAGCGGGGTGGAGGTGCCGGTGGGTGACACAGAGATAAGACCTTAGCCTAAGAACTGAATTTCTTTTTCTTTTTTTAAATATTTTATTTTATTTATTTTTTGAGAGAGGGGAAGGGAAGGAGAGAGGGAGAGAAACATCAGTGTGTGGTTGCCTTCTTATGTGTCCCCTGCTGGGAACTGGCCTGCAACCCAGGCATGTGCCCTGACTGGGAATCGAACTGCGATACTCTGGTTCGCAGGCCCGCGCTCAATCCACTGAGCTACGCCAGCCAGGGCCAGAACTGAATTTCTAATGCCTCCAATACAGGAATTTCAGAGTCAGGGGCTGGAGGAAATATTGGTGGCCAAGGGAGACACTTTTAAGCAGGTCATCTCCTTAGTCTCCTAAAAGTTTGACCCTGTGTGATTGTTGGGAGAGATGGGAACCCCTCTTTTCTCTGTACCCCTACATCTTGCACAGAGGTCTTCCGGGGCCTGGGTCTTCAGGTTAAGACCCCAGCAAGTCCGTTGACTCCTGGTTGACTCAGGTTAAGGAGGAAGCATGCTGCTCCTTCCTGCCCTCTTCTGACAGAATGGAGTAATGATCGTTGCCTTTAAAAAGAAATTTGGTAGTTTCTGTGGTCTGGAACAGAGTAGCTAGCTAACAGTCTTCTCAGGTGAAGACTATGCCCCTGTTCTCTTCTTCTGAATGGTCTGTCTTGGCTAACCTGCATTCCCCCATTTCTACTTTCCATACTGCATTATGATTATTATTAATTATTTATGTATTTTGGTTTAAGCGCTGGCAAGGTTTTGGAGACTATAAACGAATTTTGCGGTTCAGTGAGCCCCATCAGAGACTTCTGAGATCGAGTGCTGGGTAGGGGCCAGAGGCCTTCCTGGAGACAGGAACTGCGGAGCGGTGTCTTGGGGAGCTCGCTGAGCTATTTAGTAAATGTTACTTAGTCATTGTGTGTGTGCCCTTCAGGGACAGATTCTGAAACAGCGCCCTGGCCCTCAGGGTGCTGACAGTCCAGAAGAGGAAATGACCTCTAACCCAACCATCATAGCATCACGCAGAATGAGATAAGATGTGGTCACACCCAGTGTGTTTGGAACGACTGTGGGAGATGCTAGTCTGGTGAGGGCTGCGGTCCCCACAACTAATTTTGAAAGAGGACAAGATTGGGCAGCTGAGGCAAGGGCTGTGTCAAGGCCTCAGCTTCATTTTCTCCCCGTCGCCATGGTCTTCAGAGCATTCTTCTTGCCTTTGTTTCCACACACAGCTGCCAGATAACTTCCTAAAACACAGCCCAGCTGTCCCTGACCTGCTCCCCATTGTCTGCAGATATATGTACTTGAATATGTATTTCTCTGGACCTCTTGGCCTGGCATTCAAGGCCCCGTGCCCTCATCAGCCCATCCTGGCCCCCCACACACTTTGCAGAGTACCTGCTACAGGGAATGTGCTTCCTTCATCTCTCATGGTGGGAATCTGACCCAGTTCTTCACGTTTTAGTTCCGGCGTGACCTCAGCCTTCTCTGTTCCATCCCGTTGGGAGTGGCCCTTCTTTTCCTGGAGGTCACTTTCCTCCTGTCCTGTGTTCTCCTCTCCCACTACTTCCTGTCGCTGAGTTACTCAGCGTGGGCTGAGATGCTCTTCTCTTTGTGGCACTGGGTCTTGGGCACCCTGGTATTGCCTGTGGCAGCTAGCATGATGTCTTGTATTGGGTTGGCCAAAAAGTCCGTTTGGTTTTATCTGTAAAATAAAAGACACGGTTTTCGTTTTCACCAGTAACTTTATTGATTTGGATATTTTGAGTATATGGGCTATCTCCAGCGTGGTATGACGTTGATTTTTTTCCTCAAGTAATGTCTTGTTTGATCGCTCTCAACTTCCACTAGTCTGTCCGACCATGGAGCATGGTCCAGCGAGAAAGCTCCAGCACAAAACTTCAAAAACCACTTTTGACACGTTTGATCAGTCACAGGACCTCTCCATACACCGCACAAATCTTTTTTTGCATTTCAGTCGTTTTTACCTTTCTTGAAATAATAAACCAGAATACACCAAAAATGTTGCATATTTTCTTCCATCTTCGATATTAAAATTGCTACGCAAAAAGTTACCAATTTTGGTAAGTTATTTAAAAATGTACAGCTGTCATCATACAATCTAACAAAATTGTTTTGAATGAAGTTAGAGACAACTAAGCACTACCAGAGCCGTCTTACGGAAATAAGCAAATGAGCTCTTTGGCCAACCCGATATGTAGCAGGCCCTCAGAAGATAGCTCCTAAATAGATTAAAGGAGGAGACACGCAGTTCCGTGGTGTAGTAAAGCACGAGGCAGGAGGGTGACGCATCCAGGAAAACCTTGGGAGGGCTTTGTGCAGCCGGAGGCCCTCAGCCCGACATCACTGGCAACTGCTAGGATCTGGGTGTCAGTCCAGGGCCTCCTGGGCAGAGGAGTAGCCTGAGAAAAGACCTGGCATAGAAGTGAGCACCTTTGGAGAAAGAGATCCCGATTATGAATTTCTCTCTTGTAAACACGTACTCTGCAAGGAAAGAGAAGAAATGCCCTATTTTGGGAGAAGTTTTCAGGGAAAGTGGTTGTTCTCAGTTCAAGGCCAGGTGCAGCCCGGCCGTGGAAGTGGAGAGAGCACTGGAAAGGGGGGCTTTAGGGCTTACTGGGGACAGAGTCGGAATCCCCTGTGGCCAATAGAAGGCACCGGAGGAGACGTGGCTGGAGCAGAGCTGGCTAGGGATGAGCTTGGGCTGCACGACCTGTGGCCTGGACGAAAGGTGTATGTACATAAGCAAGGCCCTTTCTTAATGTTACGCTGGTGTTAGTCATCTGGCTGCACTGAGCCTGCTGTGGCCTTTGCACAGCTTTTCACCAACTCTCAGATTCAGAAGGACCTGAAAACTTTGTCTCTCAGGTGTGTTCCCTTTGTGCCGCTTGCTTTTGTTGTTCGGGGGTATGCTTCTGTTTTCCGCCATGCACCCCTGTTGTGGTGTGACCGTGTTGTGTTGAAACAGTCTGTCTCTGTGTTTGCATCCCCCTCCGACACTATTAGCTCCTCTTCTGAGATGGGCTGCAGTACCCTGGCTGCCAAGGGCAGGACGACGGCATTTCCAGCAGGGAGGGGTGGCTGGGGAGGGGTGCTCGGATTATCGGTGACAGTCAGGTGTGACCTGGAGACCACGTGTCCGTGGGTGGTGGAACGTCTGTCCCTGCACATCCTGGCGGAGGCAGAGCCCGTGTCCCACAGGTCATGCCTCTGCTCTCTCTGCAGCGGGAGCCCACCCTTGACCTTCTGGAAGCGTTCGTGGAGCACTGGAAGGGTATCACGCACTACTACATTGAAAGCACAGGTGAGGCCCGGTCTTCCCTTCAGGGAGCTGTGAGGACAGTGCAGGCAGAGCCCCGGTGCAGCTCAGAGACACAGGAGTCCCAGGGAAGGTGATATCTGCCCTTTTGAGAGAGGAGCTGTGTGAGGTGGGAGTGAGAAAGCCCGGAGTTTGGGGTTTCGCTGGCCTGCTTTGTGAGTTGAGCTCTACTTGCCCCCACCTTCCTGCGAGGTAGAGCATCCAGGCCCTCAGTCTTTAAGTGCCTGTGTCCAGGGCTTACTGATCAAAAGAAAAGAAATAAAACACATTCTTCTTTTCCCTGAGCCAACTTAGAGGGGTAGAAGGAGAACAAAAACCAAGGCATGTAACTACCTGGTCCTTGAGCCCAAGCTGACAGGCCAGGGAGCCAAAGGCTGAGGCATCAGGGCCCAGCAGGCTCACTCACTGGGAGGTGAGCTCCGATTGGCTGTTTTTGCAGTCAGTGTGCTGGCGTTGGTGGATGCACACTGATTGCCAGGTAACCCTGTCCTACATCCCTAGCTTTCACCTCCTGCAGTTCAGGCTGGGGTGTGATTCCAGCCTGTGCCTGTTCTCAAAGCTTCACGTCCAGCCTGAGCGAGCCCCTGAAATTAGAAGGTGGCCTTGGACACTCTGAGGAGCCCTCTGAACACTCCGTTAGACCAGGTTCCTCAGGCTGGCTCTGGAGACGTCTAGATTGGGTCACTGTGTGGAGGGAGCGGTGGGACGCACTGCAGTTTGTTTAGTAGCAGCTCTGGCCTCTGCCCATGAGAAGCCAGTATCACCCCCTTCTTGTGTGACAAGTGTAAATGTCTCTCCAGACATTACCAAATGTCCCCTGGGAGCGGGAGGAGAGGGGTGGAAAAACTGCCCCCAGTTGAGAACAACAACTTTTGGCTGATAATCTCTTTTATTTTCATTAAAATATAACTGACATATAACATTAGTTTCCATTGTACAACATTGATTCAATATATGGATTGATTGCAAAGTGATCACAGTAAGTCCAGTTAACGTCTGTCACCACACAGAGTTACAGTTTCTTGTGGCGAGAGCTTTTATAGTCTCTCTCGGCAACTTTGAATTATACAATACACTGTTATTAACAATAGTCACCACTCTGCACATTACACAGCCCAGGACTGACTTTATTACTGGAAGTTTGTGCCTTTTAGAGACCGAAGATCTCTGGACAGAGAGCCCCAGTTTGCCAGGAGAGCAGTGAGAGGTCCGGGAGGGACTCGGGCCCACCTGCGCCTTCGCCTTGGCCCAGTCCTCTCGTTTCCACAGTCCCTGTACCAGAGGCCCGGGAGTGGGCGGGGCAGCTGCCTTGCCCAAGAGCCTGTGCTTTCAAGGAAAGCTAGGGGGTGCTCAAGGCCAGTCCCCGAGAGCCAGAACCTTTCAAACACACCCTACCGCAGCAGCTCCAAGAAAGCCCCACTACCCAGCTTCTCCATTGGGACCTCCGCGTGGTGCAGCAGAGTCCGAACCCATGCTCAGGCTCGGATTTTTTTCTTGCTTTTTATAAAATAGAGTACTGCCTTCTGTGAGTACTCCACTTCCGTGAGTAGAAAAAGGACGTAAACAGGCTCCAGGAGATGATCAGTTAGGAAGCTGCCAGAAGACACCTTCTGAATTCTGCCAAGAGACCCTGGGCCCACAGCCACTCACTCAGGCCTCGCTGCAGCGCCGGCCGAGGTCCGTGTGTCGGCCCGGGGGTATGGGGGCAGGCAGATGCCCTTCCCTCTGATAAAGAGCTGGGGCGTACACGCATGCTCAGAGTTGTATTCTGGACCTCGTTCTAGAAGGCCTTTTGTGCTTTTATGTGTGGAGGCACAGACTGTGACTTCTGTTTCCTCTGGCCTTTAGCTGTGGAAGCAGACCGTTACCTGGCCTCTCCAGGGCGCCCTCAGCCACAGCCGCCCACCCCTGGGTCCCTCGGGCCTGACCCCGCAGGGCCAGAGTGCTCAACTTCTCCCTACTCACTCTTCCCCGGAATCTCAAATAGATGAACACACCCCAGCCAAGAAGACTGATATCCCCTGGCGGCTGAAGCAGATGCTGGACATCCTGGTGTACGAGGAGAGGCAGCAGGCAGCGGGCGAGGCCGGGCCCTGCCTCGAGTACCTGCTGCAGCACAAGATCCTGGAGACCCTGTGCACGCTGGGCAAGGCCGAGGTGGGCAGGACCCCATATCAACGTGGGGATGGGGACTGGCAGCAAGTAGGAGGCCTTTTCCATGGTGAGGAAGGGAGGCTTGCAGAGAATTGGCCTCTGAGCAGGGGACAGAGAGGAACCGTGCAGGAGGCCGTGCTCTGGGGGGCACGACTCTGTCCTGATGGGCACTCCGCTCCCTGACCCACAGTACCCCCCAGGCATGCGGCAGCAGGTGTTCCAGTTCTTCAGCAAGGTGCTGGCCCAGGTTCAGCACCCGCTCCTGCATTACCTCAACGTCCACAGGCCTGTGCAGGTGAGGGACCAAGAAGCCAAGGGGCGTCTAGGGGTGCAGCCCCCTCTTCCCTGCCCCCCATTACCTTCTGCCTCCCTGCTGCTTCTCTCCCAGAAACTTCTCCGGCTCGGTGGTACAGATCCTGGATCCCTCACAGAAAAGGAGGAGGTGCAGTTCACCACCGTCCTCTGCTCCAAGATCCAGCAGGATCCAGCCCTGCTCACCTACATCCTGGAAGTGAGTGCCTCTGTGGGCACAGAAGCGCAGGGCCCGGACTCCGGGCCCCGTCCCACGGCCCCTTTGAGGAAGCAGAGGTGCACAGAGCAGCTCCCCCAGCCCCATGCGAGGCCCAACAGTCTGCATACCCTACATTCCCCAGGGCCAGCACGGGGAGTGGGCTCTGCCACAACCTGGCCTCATTCAGCCTCATCTGCAGGGTAAGAAGACTGTCGCTAAGAAAAAGTCGTCCAAAGAACCCACCACCTTGCCTAGGGTGACGGCGGCCAGTATCGAGAAGAAGGACCACCCCCACAGTGAGGCTCCTGACAGGGGTCCCTGTGGCGCCCGGGCTTTGACCACCCAGCTGCCTGTTGAGACCTGGGAGCCCGATGGGACTGGGGAGAGCAACCTGGTCACCTCACTGGTTGGCTTGTGCAAGAGCAAGGTGCCTGATGCTGAGACAGTGTGGGCCGGGGCAGGGTGAATTGTGGGGTGAGGGGCCTTGGGGGCTTAGGTGCATGTGCTGAAGTTGTACCTCTGTTCCCTAGAAAGGTCGTGTGGCCCTGAAGGCCCAGGAGAACCTGCTGCTCCTTGTTAGCGTGGCTCCCCTGGCAGCTGCCACCCACCTGGTACAGAGCAGCCCCTTTTGCCCTGCGATTGTCGAGCACCTTTGCCAGCTGTACCAGTCCATGCCCACCTTCCTGGACCCTGCAGACATTGCTGCTTTGGAGGGCATCAGCTGGAGGTAGTCGCTGGGCCAGGGAAGGCGGGGCTGCATCTTCAGTGGCTGGAAGCCCAGTCTGTCTGCTAGTAGCCGGTTCCTCTGTTTCCAGGAGGGATGGGGACCCCTGCTGGCCATTTTCCCAAGGTTACAGCCCCTCCTAAGGGTCTTCTCACCCTTCAGAGAAGCATCCCTTTTGCTTTTGCCCAAAGAACCCCCTGTTGAACTGACCACCTCACCCTACACCCCCGCCTACCTCCTGCCCTGTAACAGAGGCTCCCTGCACAGGGAGGAAGGCTCTGCTTCCTTCTGGAAGGAACAGAGCTGGGGGAGGCCTCACAGCCCTGCCCTCACCGTCCTGCAGGGTACCCAGTGCCCCGTCTGATGAGGCTTCCTTCCTGGGCAAAGAGGCCTTGGCAGCCTTTCTGGGATGGTTTGATTACTGCGACCGTCTCATCCAGGAGGCACACATGGTGAGCGGGGGCAGGGAGTTCCCTGCCACTGGCTGTCCTCCGTCTCCACCTGGAGGACTGGGTGGGTCTCTGGGAGCTGAGCAGGCCTCAGGTTTGCAGAGACTCTCTGCCCGTTGTGCTGGACACTGTACTAGGACAGTTATTTCTCGATGGAGAACTGTCCGTGGAGCTAACGGTGTTTACCATGTGCTCTTTGGTGCCCAGGTGGTTGCAGATGCCTTGGCGAAGGCCGTGGCCGAGAAGTTATTTGTGGACATTCTGCAGCCGCAGCTCCTACACGTGTGAGTCTATGTCCAGGCCCCTCAGCTGTGGCTGTGGTGTGGATCCAAGGCCCACCACTCCTGCCCCTTCCTGTCCTAAGGCCAAGAACCTCCTTAGCCAGAGTCACATGAGCCTGTGGGCTCCATCGGCTCATGTGGGCCAGGCCTGCCCCCTGACACACATGTGGCTCAGAGCCACCGTGGGCTGCAAAGGCCTCCGCCCTGGGAGGGATGACCTCAGGAGGGATGGGAGTGAGCAGAGAGACACAAGCCAGCAATATTAGGAAACCAGGAAAGGGCTTTCCCCCTGCCCCGAGTCGTCTACTCCCTGTCCCTCTGGCCTCCCCTCCCCTGCCTGGCTCATTGTTCCATCCACATAGGTCCGAGCAGAGTGTCCTGACCTCCACTGCCCTGCTGACGGCCCTGCTGCGCCGGCTCCGCTCCCCTGCGCTGCTTCAGGAGGCTGTGGCCTTCCTCCTGGGCACTGACCCGCGGCCTGCAGCCCCCGAGGACAGCCCCTGCACTCTGTGTGCTCAGCTCATCAGGCACTGCGACCACCTCTCCGATGAGGTGAGATGGGAGGGTCCTCCACTCCCACCCCACCCCTGCCAAAGGGGTCTCCCAGGTCCCCCATTTTCACAGTTCTGCCTTTGAGACAGTGAAGCGTCCCCTGAAAGAAAGTGATGCAGCGACTGGGCCAGACTGCGCCCGTCACACAGGAGCTTTCTGTGGCTGCACCGGGTGTCACGCAGCAGTTTTCCGTGATCGCACAGCAGTGTATCATGTGCGCCCACGTTTTTAGCCCAAATTTTCAGGGGAAAAAATCTTTCATTTTAATTTTTTAATTCATTTTTGTATTTATTTATATTCAGAAACAAAACTGATTATCGTACTCCAGGACAATATTTTGCATAGGGGTATTGTTATTGCTTTCTAGAGTTAACACTTTCAACGCATAAGCCTAAATAAAAGAATTAAAAACGCTTATATAGATACAGAATTAGTACTGCCTGTATCTAATGGACATCCTTGTTTTTCCCTCAAAAATTTGGGCAAAGAAGTGAGCATTGTACACAGCAAAATACGGCACTCGTGCTGACCCTGTACAGTGTGCAAACTGCCTCATTGGGCTTGTTTGAGGCTCACGGCCGATCTGTGAGGTAGGGAGGCCAGCGGTCCATTTTTCAGACATAGAAACTGAGGCACAGAGAAGCCAATTTCCTGGCCCGTTATCACATCAAACTAATAATGGAAACAGCCAGACTTCTGATTTCCAGGCCAACACCCTCCCACTCCCTTCAAAACCTGCCAGGGATGGGGACCCCCTTCTAGGGGCACTGTTCTCATCTGGGTGAGCAAACCCCCAAGCACACCCAGAAGTCGGGGCAGGAAGGGCATCCTGCTGACCCCTGCCGGCCCCAGATCAGCGTCGCCACGCTGCGGCTGTTCGAGGAGCTGCTCCAGAAGCCCCATGAGCACATCGTCCGAAAGCTGGTCCTGTGCCACCTGGAGGGCCGCCCCTACGTGGCGCGGGGTTGCCCGGAGCCTGAGAGCTATGAGGACACCCTGTAAGTGTGCACAGACACCCAGGCCCCACCCCAGCCCTCAGCATCCCCACAGTCTTTCTTTCGTGGGTTCATTGGTGCCACGTGTGTGTGCTCTGGCCACAGCGACCTGGAGGAAGACCCCTACTTCACAGATGGCCTCCTCGATGCCAGCTTTCAGTCCCCTGCCAAGCCTGCTCCAGCCCCTGCCACCACCCCAGATGGCAAGACAGCGGTGACCGAGATTGTCAACAGGTAGGGGGGGCAGGTCAGGGAGTGAGCCACTTGAGTTTGTTCTGCCTTTGGCCACAACCCTGCTGGGGCACAGCCCGGCGCGGTGTTCGCTCCAGGGGTAGATGGAGGGGGGCAAGAGGGGTGCCCCGCCACACCAAGCCTCCTGTCTCTCAGCTTCCTCTGCCTGGTTCCTGAGGAGGCCAAGACCTCAGCCTTCCTGGAGGAGACTGGCTATGACACCTACGTCCATGATGCCTACGGACTGGTGAGTCTCCAGGTCGCCGCTGGCACCTATTCCTCGACCCTCAAAGCTGTGGGGTTGCTAACTCCACCTTCCCCCCCATGAACCCTGCCCAGGGCACTGCCAACTCCAGCCAAGAACTCTGAGCCCACCTTCCCTCGTTCCCCTCCCTGCCCCGCTGTGCTGTGGCCTCCTGACCTCCGGCCTCCTCCTCTCAACTCTCCCTCCCGGTCCAGTTCCAGGAGTGCAGCTCCCGAGTCGCCCCCTGGGGCTGGACCCCAGCTCTCACACCCCTGGACCCCCATGAGCCCGAGCGGCCTTTCTTTGAGGGGCACTTCCTCCGGATGCTGTTTGACCGCATGTCCCGGATTTTGGAGCAGGTAGCCAATAGGACTGGGCCCTGGCCAGAGGGTGGGGCCCACAGGAGCACCCCAGGTGGGTGCCTCTGGAGCCCTTCAGGGAACAGGCATGACCATGGCAGGTAGGGGGTCAAGCCGTCTTCGGTTCCGCAGCTCCACCCCCCACCCCACCTTTCCCCAGGCGGGAAGCCCGGCTCGCCTCTGCTCCGCGTGCCCTGACACGCCTGGCCCTCAGCCCCGGGGAGCCATGACACACACACACATCATGTGCGTCCCCTGCCCCCGCACACGTTCGTGCTGGCCAGGAGCCTCTGGGGGGGGGGGACGGTGCAAAAATGCTCACCAGCCCCTGCCAACCCTGGTTTGTCCACCATGTTCCCTACAGCCATACAGCCTGAACTTGCAGGTGACCTCAGTCCTGTCCCGGCTCGCCCTTTTCCCCCACCCCCTCATCCATGAGTATCTCCTGGACCCCTACGTCAACCTGGCCCCGGGCTGCAGGAGCCTGTTCTCTGTGCTGGTCCGGGTAAGAGTGCCTGGGAGCATGTCAGTGGTGGGCAGGGAGGGAGGGGTGTGGGATGGGGCCGGGGCCGCAGGTGTGGGGGACCCTTGTCGGTGCCAGAGGAAAGCACAGGCATCACCCCCGGGTGCAGCAGAGCCAGGGCATCTCGCTTGAGTGTCGCTGGTCCCTACCTTAGCCCTCTCTTGTTCCTGTTCCAGGTAATCGGGGACTTGATGCAGAGGATTCAGAGGGTACCCCAGTTCCCAGGCAAACTGTTCCTGGTGCGTAAGCAGCTGATGGGTCACGTTCCTGGGGAGCAGTAAGTAGCTGAGGGAAGTGGGTGCCGGGGAAGAGCCCCGGGTGGGAGGGCAGAGCGCTCCAGGGTGGGGAGGCGCCTTGGTGCACAGGGCCTGCTGCTGAGCTCTGTCCCCACTTAGAAGGGTCTGCCACTGGGTTATGCCTCAGGGACACTGTGATGTCACCAGTGGCCTTCCAGCCATGACTCTCTGTGCTCGCCCCCTCAGGCTGGACCACCAGACCCTTCTCCAGGGTGTGGTCGTCCTGGAGGAATTCTGCAAGGAGCTGGCTGCCATCGCCTTCGTCAAGTTCCCCCCACAGGGACCTCATCCGTACCTCTCCCCACCCCTGGAAGGGCACATCTGAGGCAGGAGCGTGGCGGGCGGGGAGGCTCCTGACCTCCCCTCCTGCCCGGGAGCTGCCTCCTGCCTGGCACAGCCGCCACCACCCTTCTCCTGGGCTGGGGGCCTGGCCCCTTCTCCTCTGTGTCCTCCAGGGACCTCTGCCTCTGCGGCTCTCAAGTCACCTCCAGGAGACCCTGCCTTGCTGGCTGCACCAGGCTGGGCTTCAGGAAGTGGGTCTCCCAAGGTACCAGAAGCCAAGGAGCAAAAGGGGTGGCCTCCCAGGCAGCATGGGGTCTCCAGGGCCTTCTCAGTGGAGCTGGGTGATGGCCAGGTGACCATTGGAACCCAGACTCTCCTGTGTTCTGTACCTGTCTCTACGGGACACAGGGCCAAGACCTGTGACTCAGTTCTAGCCACATGAGGGGAGTGAGCTGATGGCTCCGAGGCCAGGCAGAACTGCAGATCAGAAAGACGGGGCACAGGAGCCCTGTCTCTGTCACACTAGGTACCGGTGGATGCTGCTAAGACTTGACATTTTTTTCCTCCTGCCTTCTGGACTTAACCCTTGTGGAGGGGTACTGGCTGGTAGGGGTAGCCCACTCTTCTTCCCTGGCCCTCCTGGAGACTGTTGCAAAATCCCAAACTGCCTCATGGCATATGGCCAAAGCATGCTCCGCGCCCAGGCGGGGGCAGCTGCTAATGAGAACCTTGATGCAATTCCACCAGGGCGGGAGAGGGCCTGGGGAGCTGGGGGCTGGGTGCCAGGCTCTAGCTCCAGCTGGTTTCTCCCTGGCGCCTTCTGAACCCGTCTCAGCAGGTCCACAACACCTGGGCAGAGGGGCTTGAGACCAGGGGAGTCCAGGCCCAGCCCGCAGTGTTCTCGAGGGAATGCTCTCCCTGGGGATCTCGGGGTACAGGGGAGGCTGGGGCACCCACCTGGTGGCAGCCCCCAAAGCCTGGCAGGGAGGGGCTGGAGTCCAGGCAGCAGCCCCGGCGCTCTTCTCCCTGCGTGCCCTGAGTCTGGGGCTGCCACCCCACCCGGCCCGAATCTGCCTCGACCTGCAGGAACACACAGGCGGCGCCAGGCATTACCTCACAGCGGGACTGCAGTTGCTGGCTTTGCTCCTGGGCAAGGAGGAGCAGGCCAGAGCCCCTTGCGCTTCCTTTTCCTGCCCATGCCGCTTCTAGAAGCCAGCCACAGGTTGCCAAGAGGTGACATGAAAGAAGAGGAAACTTGGTGACCTCTACCTCTCCCGCATTCCTCCCAGCTGGGGAGGGCTGAGCTGCTGTGCGGACGGACACTGGGCGTGTATGTGCAGGCATGCACGCACACATGGGTGTCGGCGTGGGACAGGAGCAGAGCTCAGTGGGCAAACTGGGTCTGGACTCTCCGATTCTGAAGATGCTCGAGTGTCCGAGTCACAGACACTCCCAGCCTTGATGTGCTTAGGCGCTCCTGCAGTGCTCCCCCACCCCAGACACCACGGCAATAAACAGTGTGGTTGTGTGGACACAGCTGCCCTGTTCTCCACCCTTCACTGCCCAGGGCTCTACTGCTAATCTGGGCCCATCTTCCTCCCCAAGGAAGACAAATTAAGTTCCTTTTTCAGCACTGGAGTGGAGGGGGAGGGTGGTAAACAGACAGGCTCTGGCAGTACACGTCTGCCCTTCCTCGGCGCCTGCCAGGAACGGCCTCTCTTGGCCGGGCAACACTGTTTCTGCTCTGCTTGCCCATGACCGAGGGCTGGCTCACCTCAAGACATGGCGAGGGAGCCAGCCGTCTGCAGCATCTGTGTGCGGGTCTCACGTCAGGTGCTTAGGCTGTGCGTTGTGTGACTGCTTTAGCGGTGGACAGTGGGCCTGCTGGTGTAAGACTTGCCCCTAAACGTGTGAGTGTCGTGGATCCTCTGCGGGAGTCACCATGTGCACCAGGACAAGGAAAGCAAAAGGCCTGAGAGGGCTGGTCAGTGTGCCCCTCCTCAGTGCATGTTCATTAATTGGGTGGCTTTTTAAATGACCAGTGTCCTAGCCCCACCCCCCACCCCATCTGGGGGTGGCTCAGAATTCTTCATCCTCTCCGGGTGAACCTGATGGGCACTCAGGGTTCAAAACTACCATAGGCTAAATACTGGGAGCAAAGATCACTGCCCATGGACGTGGCTGTGGACTGGGGCATCCCTCATACCGAGAGAAGTGAGCCATAGTGAAAGGGTTTGGTTCTACCATTTGGGGGACACTAGTCCTCCAGGGAGACAGGAGGACTCCTACCACAGTCTGGAGACCAGAAGGAGGATGGCAGCCAGGAGAGGCCTGGGTTGGGGTGGGGGGCACTGGGATGGGGGGGCGGCTCTGAGGGTCCCGGTCCTTCCCTTCAGTGCCAGAGTGTAGTTACTTCAGAAGGGAAGCCCATCACGTGTTTCCCAGCTCAGAGTCAGAGATCGGGATTTGAGAGGCAGTGAGGAGCACACAGGATAATTTGGCTGGGCTAAGGGGAAATAAAGGGGTTGGGTTGGGTTGGGTTTGAGCTGGAGTTATAAAAGGGCAGAGGCAAGAGCCAGGGCCCAGCAGTGTGACTGGGAGGGATCAGCTCAAACAGAATGAAACCTAGGCAGGGCAGCTCTTTTGAGTCCTGGCCTACTTGAAGCTTCCCTGGTGTTTTCACTGCTCAAAACCTGGAGGGGATTCGGTCACATTCTACACAGGCAGGCAAGTTGAAGAGGTTCTCAGTGGGCCGGAGACAGGCTGCAGTGAACAGCACAGTAGGAGCCTGCCTGCCTGCCCAGGCCCCAGCACCCAGCAGGCTGGCCCCTGCAGTGTCAGCTTGCTGTCTGGGATGGCCTGGGTGGCTGTCGGTGGGACAAGGGCAGGAGCTTCTCTTCTGAGGGGAGTCCCCTGCCCCTTCCTGCCCACTTTCTCCCCACAGAGACATGTAGGACAGAAGGCAAAGTAAGCAATAACCTATTTAACTCGGCAAGGGGCCCATTCCCGTGGAGTGACCTCCCCCAGCACTCCTTCCATGTTCTAGGTGCCTGAGAATCTGGCACCAAAAATGATGAGATGTTGTCTCACGTCCACAAAGTTCTCACATCCCTTAGGGAGCAGTGCCCTTATTGTGCCTCAGGACAACTGGGTCCTTGAGCTCTGGACTCCTTGCCTGGTAAAGGCACTGTCCCTTTTGGTGCAATGTAGGGACATGCCCCATGGCGAGGAGAGATGGAAGTCCCCCTGGGAAGACTTCTCCTGTTTGCAGGGGGACCCCTAGTTGCCAGCCTCCTGCCTCCCTCAGGGAGGTGAAGCCACAGTGGAGGGAGCAGACAGCCAGCTCCTTACCCGCTGATGGCACCTTCCTATCTGTTGACTGGGATGACAGACGTTTCCTGAAGCCTCTGTAAGAGCTGGCTTTGTAGGCCTTCCTCCATCACTTTCCACCAAGAGAAGTTCTCACCCCGAACCTTCGGGGGCTCATTTTGGATACCTGGGTTCCGAAAAGCCACTGCCACCAGCACATTCAGGCAGACGCCATCCGTGTGGTCCTTGCCCAGGTGCTGTAGTCCAAGCAACCCCTTGATCTCCACCACCAAGTGGTGCAGAGTCAGACACTCCTGCAGCAGCCGCAAGATGGCCACTTTGATGCCACCCCTCTGCTCCGTGGGGGTGAAGCCACAGGCAGTAATGGGCAAGTGAGGCACCCGCTCTGTGCCCACCAATACCCACACGGTGTGGACACTGGTAAAGGTGGCCACGAGCCGCTGACAGACCAGACTGCAGGGAAGCTCTTGGGGCAGAATGAGAGGGTGCCTGGCCTGATGGCGGTACTGGGCGGCCAGCTCCACCAGGTGCAGAATGTCATGGGCTCGCAGCGGAGTGGGCAGGGAGGTTCTTGGGTACCAGCCAGCCTGTAGGGACTCTGCATCTGCCTCTTTGGAAGTCTTGAGAACTCCACCTGGGGGAGAGGTGAGGATGGGGTGAGGAAAGGGTCTGCACAGCGAGAAGTGTCGGGCCTGGCAGAGGAAACAGCCATCCAGGCCTTCTAACCCGACACTTAGGCTGGAATCCGGAGATGCCAGGCTCGTATCAGCCAGAATAGGGGCTCATCTCGCCTGAAAACGAGCTGGGGGGGGCAGTTCAATTGCCACCTGCCCACGCTGCCACCAGGTGTGCTGTACCTGTGGGGCGAGCAAGGAATGCGAAGCGGATCCAGGAGGGGCCCCGCTCCTCCACAGACAGCAACGTCAGAGGCTCGCAGTGCAGCCCAGCCTCCTCCTTCACCTCCCGCTGCAGCGCCTCCACGATGGTCTCCCCAGGCTCCATTCTCCCTGCCGGCAGGTACCACGACCCACGGCACTCTTTCTTGGCCTCCTGGATCAGCAGCACCTCATCCTGAGGGGAGAGAGAGGATCCTCACCCCCACACAGCCAGGCTGGGAGCTCCAAAGGAGGGGCACAGGTGGCAGCCTTTCCTTGCCCTGGGGGCTGGGTCATGTATTAAACAGTCACCCAGTTCCCCCTTACTGGTGGACACCCTCAAACTGTTGAGCTCTCCTGGGTAACTGCCCTTGCATGGCTTCCAGCTGCAGCTGTCCCTCTCTGCAAAGTACCCCTTTGCCTTCAGACTTCATTGCAAAAAGGGGCTAATAATCCTGGGAGCTGCTTCAGGGGTTGGGGATCAGGCCTCTCCGGGCAGGGGCAGGGCCGTGCATCCTGAGTCTCTCTGAGTATGTCACTGTATCTCTCACCTCCCCTGTGGTTTATAAAGTGCTGTGACCTGTCCTCACACTGGAGTCTGGGCTTTGAAACATGCCCCCACCCCATACAACATCTACCCACACTCTTGGCCCCTTCTAGCTGTTGTCACAGCAACTTGCGCTTAGATCAGCATCAAAAAGAGCATCACACAGGGTACGAAAGTCTAAGTGTATGCACAGATTGTGCCACCACTGTCCGTGGGACCCAGAGTAGGTCTCCGCAGCGCTTAACTGATCTTTAAGAGAGACCACTCCGCCGCCATGGCAGGCACTGTGCTGGCAAAATTCTGGGAAAATGAAAAGGAGTAAGCCCACAAGGAACTTAGGCCTAGTGGGATGAGACAAACAGGCTCCTGGACTCGGTTTCTCCTCTGTGCAACTAACAATCGCAGGGTTGGGTGCACCAGGCTCAGATGTCAGTCAGTGTGACAGTGCTTTGCAAAACTGGGAAACACCGCCCACAAATAATTGGTGGCGGCTGCCGGTAGGTCCTCTGTCCCCACGGCCTGGCTGCGCGTTCTGAAGTGGGGGCCGGTGGACGGACGCTCACCTGCTCGTTGAGACACACGGCCAGGACTACGTAGCAGACGTTCCTCCGTAGCCGCACAGGTGCCAGAAGCTCCCCTGCCGGCTCCGAGTCACAGCTGTGCACGCACAGCCCCTGGCCCCCCAGCACCGCCGCCAACTCCCCCTCCAGGCCTTCCGAGGCCATCTGGTGCCCTGGAAGGCGGCGGCCGTGGCAAGCAGACCCGCTGAGCCCGATAAGGTGCGACGTGGGGCAGCCAGTGGTGCGTGGCCTGGCACCAGCGGACTCGCACTGGGCGTGCTCGCGAACACGGAAGCGCCAGCCGAGTCCCGGCTGCTGATAGGCTGCGCGTCCCCGCGGCCTGCTGGGATTGGCTAGCCCGGCTGGTCACTGCGGAGGCGGGACCAATCCGTAAGGGGACCCACACGCTGAGGCAGGCAACTTGGACCCGCCAGGCTTCCCTGTCCGTTTCTCCTGGCCCTCTCCAGCCGCCAGCTTTGCTAATTTCTCCAGCGAGCACAGGTCTGCACCGGTTCTGACAGTTACGTCATCCTGTCTGCAGGCTGTGGGGCGCTAGGGTGGCCAGCGAAGGTGATGTCACAGCAAGCCTGATAATGTCAAGGAGGCCTGGGGCCCCGGCTGGAGCCCATTGTTCAGCTTTTATCATAAACATACCAGTTCATTGCTCAAAATGACCACTTCCCAAATAACCTCATTTTTCGCCAAAACTGTACTGACTGTCACGGTAGCGGGGGTACACGTGCTCTTGCTGTGGAGGAGATTCTGATCTAGTTAGGAAGGTAGATAAAGTTATAATAAAAAGTCAACTCAGGGTTATAAGCCAAGTGCTACCTGATTGGACAGGAGGTGTAAATAGTGCCAGGAGGAGGGAGGGATCAGGGCTGGGATGACAAGGTGTGGCTGGTGATGGGAGGAGGGGTATTTGGGGCAGGGAGAGCACCAGGATCAGCGTCCAGGCTCTCTGACCACAGCATTTCCCCTGCGCTTTCAGGCCTTCTACCCCCTGTCCTGAGAGCCCTGGGAGGGCAGGGGCCAGGTCCTGCTCTGTCATCTCTCTTGCCCCCACACCCAGCTGGCTGGGCCTGCTGCACTGAGAGCAGGGTGTGGATTTTGGCGAGCTCCGGCCTCTCTCCCAGGCTGACCTTTCCTCCTCAGGGCTTCCTTTGACCTCCTCTCAGGACAGGAAGGCAGGGCCAGCTGGAGTGAAATTGTGAAGCCAGCCAAATCTGGGATCCTCCTCAGGCCTCCCCTTTCTCTCCTGCTGGCTTCACACACCTCTCTTTCTGAGGGACAGTCGCTTGGTGGAGCAGACAGAGCATTGGGCTTGGAGCCAGATGCCAGGCCTCTGCTCTCTTCACTGTCTGGCTCTGTGTCCCTGGGTAAGTCGTGGGCCTCAGTTTCCTCGTCTGTAGGGTAGGCTCACAACAGCTCTTCCTTCACAGCGTTGTTGGGAGGGGAGATGCCATGGGAGGAGCTCCGTGGGCCGGTCAGCATAAGTTATCTCCCTGGGCAGCCTGGCAACCCCTGTGGGCAACCCTGGCCACAGCATTTGTTGCCACAACACAAAGGCCCACTCACAGGAAATGTACCTCCAGAGCTGCCATGGAACTAACTTTACTCTCAGGAAATCCAGCCACATTAGATCTGCCTGCTTAGGCCCTTCCTTCCCACACACTGCACTGCAAGATCCCTGAAGGCAGTGCCCAGTGTTAGGCTATGGGGGGGTTCCCGGTGGGCCCACCGTCTTCTGAGGCACATGGTGAGCACGGCAGCCCCCAGCCCCAGTCCTCTTGCATCCCAAACAGCTGAGCTCATGGGGGACTACAGAGCACCTTGTCAACATAGTCTCTGTGTGTGTGTCCCCCGGTTTTCCCATCTGTGAAGTGGGGACAGCGTTGGTCCCAGACTGCTTTCTGCCTCCCGGGGATGATTTGAGAGAGAATGAGGTCATGTCTGGGCAGGGCTCTGAGCGCCTCAGAGGCAGCCTAAGATAAACACCGGACGGCCCGACTACCTAGCAGAGCAAAGACTGCAACCGTCGCAGCCCCACTCCCCCATGACCACCTGGGGAAAGCACTCCTCTCCCCTGAAGTGGACCCAGTCACCCTGCCGTGAGGAGCACATGTGCCCATGTGAAAGCCAACTGCCGACCGTGAAGGATGCATGGGCAGGTGTGCCAGCCCTTCCCGAGAGCTGAGGGAGACAGTAGAAAGCAGATGTTCTGTTGTCTTTGGGAGGAAGAGAGCACGCCCCAGATGGAGGCAGGAGAGGCCCTGAGACAGAATGGGAAGAGCTGCGGAACTTCATGGGGCTGAGGGAGAACCCCACCTAGTTTGCTCTGCGCCCTCCATTCCCAGAGAGGAAAGAGAGCTGGTTAAATGGGGGCAGCTGTGCATCGGGGTGGACCAGAGCGTCCACACAGTATAGTGGCCACGGCATAGTGGCAAGACCTGAGCCAGCCATTCCAGGCCACAAGGGCCCATGTGTGCTTGTGAGCCCTGTGCAGAAAGGCAGTGTGGGCCGTCTCAGAAGCAGGGACAGGGATGGGCAGGCAGGCTGGGGCAAGGGTGTCTGTGATGCTAGAGTCGGTCACAGAGCAGCAAACCCTGTCCCTGGACACAGTGGGAAGGGTAAGGAGGGCAGTGGCCACAGGTGTAGGGAGGAGACCTGGTTTCAATCTGCACTCTGCCACCAGCTTGCTGTGCCCTTGGGGGACACAATCTACCCTCTAGGTCATAGTAAGTTGCTGTCTACCCTCTAGGTCGTAGTAAGTTGCAGGCATAGGTGAATCCTAAAAGAGAGAAGGGACATTCACAGAAAACTGGTGACTGCCCATAGAGAGTGCTGCTTACTTAATAGTGTTCAGTTTCCATCACTGTGTCATGGTTGTGCGCCATGTCAACACCGGAGGAAGCTGGCTGGAGGGTCACTGGGAACCACCTGTACTGTCTTTGCGACTCGACTGTAAATCTACAATCATCTCAAAATTATGAGCCTAAAAAATGTACTTCATCAGAAAAAAGGAAAAGGTAGCATTGAATATACACACCTGAGGTCACCTCCAGCACCGAGAGCGTGCCTCTGTGCTGGCAGGGTGGCAACGGGGCTGGGCGGAAGGGGGGCAGTGGGGCTGCTGGGAAAAGCAGGCACCCGAAGGGCAGAGCTGCACGAGGCAAGGCGGGGCACCAGCTGAGCTCCGTGAGGAAGAGGGCCACCAAGTGAGTGCCTCGAGTCTCAGGACCAGTCCTCACCTGGACTGGCCTCACTCCTGCTCTAGACCTGGGACATTTGGTCCACCTGGAGGGTGCTGGGACCCTCCATGAAGGAGAAGGGTCCGGAAAGAACTGTGGGGAACAAAGGAGCCATCCTCATCTTCTCAAGGAAGGACCCCGTGTTGGGTGCTCTGGGGCGACATCAGGACAAGGCTATAGAGGGTGAAGTGTAGGCAGGGCCACTCAGTGCCACTTGGAACAGGATGAGATATAAAGTGCCTGTACTGGCCGGAGCACAGAGAAGCCAACGAAGCCATCTGCAGAGGCCACTGCACTTTAAGACTCTAATGCAGATGAGGCGGCCGGAGTCAGGATGCTAGGTCCAAATCCCAGTTCCACCACTGAAACTGCAGTGTGACCCTGGGTGACTCACCTACCCCCAGCCTGCCTGCTTCCTCTTCCGTAGGATGGAGATAAATAACAGCTACTTCAGAGTTATGATAAGGGATTAAATGAGGTCACTTACATGAAAACAGTGGCATGCTAAAGTGTAGGAGTGCCTTATTTTTTTTCTATCACATGGAAAAATGGAAATAACCTAGTTTTGCAGACAATGGAGAAATCTTATTTTTTTAAAAATGAGGGATGGCTATGTAAATCACGGCAAAGCCACTTAAGGAAATAGAAGCAGTCATTAATAATGAAGGTTCAGTAGCAACACAGAAAATGATCATAACAGTGTTTGTTAAAAGAAAACGAGTAAAAGCACACCAACTCAACTGTGTGTAAAACGGATCCTTGGAGGAATACAACCAAATACTACCAGTGGGTGAGTTGGGGGTGAGTGGAGGTGGGCTTACAGCTGACTCTTATTTTCTAAACGTTCTAAAAGTGTATTAAATTTATTTTAAAAAATTTATTTCATTAAAAAAAAAACACATTTCCCGAACCACTGCAGAAAAATTAGATATGATGAACAGGAGCTTGCTGGGGCCAAGATGCACCAGGGGAGGGGAGCTCGGGCAGAACCACGCCAGACGCCAGACGGCTTGGGGAGGGGGCGGGGCTGCCAACTGTCTTCGGAGGCAGGCCAAGCCCTGGGAGAGGGCTGTCCCGGGCCACACTCCTGGAGCTGCAGGTCAGATCAGACAGGAGAGATGGGGTGGCCAGGCGTTCTTGTGGAGGGTTGGGGAGGGTTGGGGCTTGAGGCTACTTTGCAGCTGTGCCCCAAGGCTCTGCCTTGCTGTCGTGGTGGCATCAGGAGCACGGTCAGGGGGCAGCTCCCTGGAAGGCTTCATCTGCCCCTCAGTGCAAGGGAGGGGCCCAGGCCCCGGAAGAAGAGTGGAGGGGGGGGGGTGCGCCCCCTCAGGGACAGCCCCAGCTCTGCCCACCAGGTTCCACTTCCAAGTCTCCCTTCCCTCCCCAATCCACATGGCCTGCAGGAGCAGGGCCAACCAGACTGGCAGCTTTCATAAAATAACAGACTTTAATGGAAAATGGGAAGGTGAGCAGGTGAGCAGAGGCAGCAGCGACAGGGCCTCACCCTGGTGGTTCCCTTTGGCCAAACCTAGGTATCGTCCTGAGGCGCCCCCTCCCCACACTTCACGGCTCTCCCTCAGGCAAGAGGGCAGGCGCTCAGGGGGGCCCCTTGTCCAGCAGGCCTGCAGTGCAGTGGGCGCCCAGAGCCGAATGAGGAGGTGGGTGGCGTGAAAGAGCTTGGCACAGGTGGAACAGCCCGGGGTGAGGCAGCGGAAAGTGTTGCTTAAGCCAGAGGGATTCCCAAAGTACCCCAAGGAAGGGCTGTTTGTCTCCTGGGCTGAGAGGCAGGGGTTAGAGGGACTCTGTCGCCCCCAATGTGGGCCTGGTACCATGGAGAAGGGCAGAGGGGCAGAGCAGATGCCAGCCTGCGAAGGGCAGGTGGGAACTTTGGTGGCACTGTGGTTGTTGGCTTTAGGGCCCAGGCCAGGGCCAGGGAACAGAATGCCCTGCCAGTGCCCAGAGTGGTGCTTGTGGAATTGACCAAAAGTCCCCAAGTGCCCATTGTCGTTCTCTC